GTACTCCCTACCTACAAATATGTGTGCACGTACCTATATAAAGTTACCGCCAATTTATTTAAGTTGCCTGATTTTTGTAGGATGTTTTGTGGATGTTTTTGGATTGATCTAATCGAAATTTTAATTTCGAAATCTGTCAGGGGTACTGTCTGTTTGCTGTATTGAATTTGCTGTATAGCAATTCTGTAGGTGAGAACGGTATAGATGTCAAATAGAAATTTTTATGAGGCTCTTATTTAGGCATTTAAAATCAATCTTATGGTCAAATAAAATAATATGTTAAATAAATAAAGAATTTAATAAATTTTCTCAAACGCATTTAGGGGCCTACCTTTATGGGAATGTAATTCAATCAGTAGTAGTAAACCTGCTTGTGAAAGAGCTCGTCCAGGGAAGTACCTCCTGCCACCTTACCTATTTTTGCCGCCAAGCAGTAATGTCAGCATTATTATGTTACGGTTTTGAAGGGTAAGGGGTCCTGGTGAAATTACAGGCACATGGTACTTGTCAACTAATGTCTCAGGGTGTCGGGCGCGGTGGCAGTGCTCCTCAGATCTTTGTGACTTAAAGCATTGAGTGGCATTGCAACTGTTATGGACAGGCGTGTCGCTTACCACCTGGCGCACAACTTGTTCGTCCTGTCACTTGATATAATAAAAAAACCTCTCTCCCCTCAGCATTATTATTTCCATCTGATGGTCTTTAAATCAGCTCCATAAATCTTAGGAGATTTGGTCTGTCCACCTCATCCTAGGTCTTCCTCCTGGACCCAGGGTTCTTCAGATATATCACGGCATTTCCATTGTAATCGGAATGACTCCTTTTCAAGTGTCCATACCACCTCAGCTTACTTCTCTTGAAGCTTATCTACGATGTCCCGTACACCGAGGCTACTACGAACATATTCGTTTCGTTACGGATTTTATGAAGCCTCGTTATTCCGCACATCCATCGAAGCATTTTCATTGTCGCCGCTAGAATAGTATGTACGTACGATATCATAAATAAAAATAAATTCAAACAAAAGCAAGTACAGTCATTAAATAAGAACACAACAATACGACTATAATTTATGTTTTGCACACAGTTCGCTAATTTCATTTATATTTTGGCGACTGATCAAGACGCATGTTTTTCGTTGAGAATGTTATATGAAATCGCGCCTCCATATTTTGTCGGTACATGTGCAATACGATCAAGAGTTTGTTCTACTAATTTTAATAAACTTGCCGACCAAGTTCTATTGGTAAATTTGGAACTAATTAGGTTAGTTAGTTGTGAGGTACTGGCAGGGTACATCTTGGCCCGTAGGGTCCCTTCATCTGTACAAATTTTATCTAATAAATTAATAGACTGTCTAGGAAACCCAAGGGCCAGCAGCTACCTCGCCCAAAGTATTAGAATAACAATACAAGGGGGAACGGTGCCAGCATCTTGGGCACTTTGCCGCGGGGACCCAATTTTGTTAATACTTTTTTTTACGATAATTCTATATATCAATGTATTTTAACTTATTGTATTATAAAAAGATTTAGTATAGTCGGCAGGGTTCGAAATATCAAGATATTAAAATTGTGGTAATAATTTTATCCTTAACTTTAAAATTGACAAACAGTGAGAAATCTAAATACACACGAAGAAAAATCTTTGGGAAAATGATTTGGTTTGTAATTATTTTTAGATTAACATTTGACACGTTTGGATATGTTTTCAATTGCCGTTCCGTTGTTCCCATTATTTTATAAATACCAAGACAATTAATACTTCTAATCCGTGTTACAGGTAGTGCCTTAACGAATATAAATTTTCATATTTGGACATGGATATGACACGTCGGACACACGTGACGTACCGCCAGTTCTCGGATTCGGAACTGGGCGTCCACTCTCGTTTGTCCGTTTGACATACGTCCGTAACCATTACTGTCCAAATAAGTAATACTCGAAATAAAATTCAAAGACAATGTCAAGTATGAAGCTTCATTGGCATTAATAATAATTAAGGTAATTGTTTCGGACGTATGACGTAGGGAGAATGAGAATAGGGCCTGAATACGAATTAGGTATTCAGGTAACGTAGTGCACAAACACTCTTACATCGTTTTCCTGTAAAATAATAATTATAATTTATTCATAGAACTGAAACGTTACAAAGTATAAAAAGTGCATAATAAAATGTACAGCTATCAGAACATATGAAAGGTAAAAATTGAAAACTTGTGCTTTAAGTACCAGCAACCTTCCAGTGTCACAGAGATATAATCCACATTATTTTATACGGACAAGTTATTATACAGGTAAAATTAAGTTCAACGCTCGATTTTAACAAAAATGAAAAACAATATTAATTTGTAATAACAGAGTAGAGAGAGAAGTGCACGAATGTGTCGATATCCGTGGGATAGGGATTTTAATGTGCAATTGTGTGTGTGGATGTGTGTGTGTGTGTGTGTGTGTGTGTGTGTGTGTGTGTGTGTGTGT